CCGCCTATGACAACCTCAGAAGGGTCAGAGCACGCGCAGTGAGCCAAAAGGTGTGCTATTGTTGTGGTTCAAACCAACATCACCTGGCTATTTGTCCCAACACTGAGAAGAAGGACGAGTTGATGAACTCATTCTCTCACATGGAGGACACTATGCGCAAGTGCTTCACCGAGGACGACAAGGCAATCATCCGACGTGATGTTGAAAGCCGAAAGAGGAAAGCAAAGTCATCCAAAGACGTCGAAGACGAGGACTACATGGATGTGGATGATGAAGATATTGAACTTCCCGAAGAAGAGCCGGAACTAGGAAGTAAGGTACCACCTTACTCTCCGAGAGCCAAAGGTAGACCACATTCGTCAGACTCTGCAAAAGAGGAATACGCGAAAGCGGTCGAGGCAACCAAGAAGGCCTTTGGGAACGCCAGTTTCGTCACCAGATTCAAAGAGCCCGTCGACCTCTTTGACATTGCCGATGACAAAGAAGGAGGAGAATACAGGGTCGCAAATCACAGGGTTGATAGATCAGGTCCTGATGGAAAGAGGGAACTTGATGCACTTATTCAGGAGGCTGCAGCACTCGGAATAAAGATGCCCAAAGTGAAGGACCTTGTTCCTGACCCACAACAAGTTCAAAAGGCTGGATATCGGCAGATTGAGGTGACTTGCAATAGAGGAAACATCGAGATCATTCCACAATATGGAGTTACCTTCTATGTGGAGTACTGGAATGGACCGAAGAGAGATGCGACTTTCACGGATCCACCAAAGATGAACCCAATAACTCGCATCGACAAGTTCAGCGAGGAGAGTCAGTGGGTCAATGAGGTTAGCCATAGACTCAACAGACTACTCAGGCATGGAGTGGGAAAGCATAATGGGATTCAATCGCACCGCGGTCGAAATCCTCATGTGTCCCCGAAGTGCAATGAGGGTGGATGGGTGAACATCGATGAGATCCTGGAATATGACCATGTCTTCAACGATGGTGTCTATATCAGTACTATCTCAGATGCTCAACGTGAGCAAGATGTCAAGACAGAGCGATACCAGTATTTATGCAAGGCGATGTGGCATGCAAAGAAGTTGCAGCACAGAGTACGCTATCAGATTGCCGCCATTCGCATCTCAAAGGAGGATGTCTCACTCGAAGAGGAAAGGCGATACTGGGCAAACCTCATGTATTACAACACAGATGCACCGTCATTTCTGAAGCATGAACGTTGGATCGTTCCTTGTGCAATTCGAGCTGTTGCCTCTCACAATTCTGGAAGAGAGACTGTTCTTGAAGAGGATGTGTCAATATATCCTATGTGGACTTCACATCTCATTCCAGAGAATGTGGCAATGCAGCTTGGAGGAAGCTTTCACATGACATCGCTTTCCAATATTGAGTCAATCATGAAGCTAGGAATTGTCCCTGGTGGAATGGAGGGATCTAGAGGTAGTGTTTTCTTCAACCACTTTGCGCCGTGGGATGATCGATCATCAGAGATTCTGAGATCAAGATGGCCAAGAGTGGGAATGCCCGTTTGCCTTTATGTTCCAATCATGACTTTGAGGAAGCTTGGGGGAAGAATTTCGGAGAATTCCTACACTGTTGTTTTTAGAGAAGTTCCATGGAGATGTGTACGAGGTGCTTGGTATTGGGACGACTACGTTCAGGCATGGAGGAGACTCCTGCTGGGAAGCACTGGAGAGCAAGTTGTTCTCGCGGCACGTCATGGACTTTGGGTTGCTCAGAAGCATACCATCCTCGAGAGAGCCGATGAAGTCACGAAGTCAGCCTCGGCGACAGATGACAACGTCCAACAGCTTGTGTCCCTTATCGATGAAGTACAATTCGATGGCAATGGAGAGCTGATCGAGGATTCCATCAGTGAGGAAACTTGGGACGAAATCATCTCCAGAACATGTGAAGGGTATCGCAACGTGGATGGCAATATTTTGTGTCCATCATGTATGCATTTGACTTCTTCATCTTTGTCCGTGTGTCTATCTTGTCAAGGCAGGCTACTCTCGTGTGGTATTCGCAACACTGTCATTTCCGATTCACCCGTTGATCTTGTGAGCGACGATGAAGAGGAAAAGAAGGAAGAGAAGGAGCCTGAAGATGATGTTCAAGATATCTTGGACCAGGCCACTATGGACGAGATCAGAAAGGCTTGGGAAGAAGACATCGCTCAAACTGAAGCAGCTGACGACGACGAGGACATGGACATTCCAGATCCTTCCAAACCGTCTGATGGTGCAGAAAACTTCAAGAGTGACAATGTCGAGACCCCATCTTTCAATGAGGAAGAGATCGACTACGGTCGTGATTCTGATCTAGAAGATGAAGACGAACGAAACGTGATCATCGAGATCCAGAGGAGCACACAACAATATGAGGGGAAGAAACGTCAAGATGGTGAGCCCGAGGATGAAGACGTCATCGACGACTTATATCCGGAGGCGAATCGACCGACAGATCGTGATGAACCGGGATACTATGCACAGCATGGAGCGACCGAGTTCAATCCCGAAGAAGGAAGAGACAATGAAGATCTCCCCATCTATTGTCGAGTACCGGAACCTCGAATCTATGCGCATCAAGAGAGAGCCTACTGTCAGGACGTCTCCATGAATGCATCGGGTTTGATGGATAGGTATGTGGTCAAATGTGTGCTGAACATGATCTCCCTGATGTACAAGAGCTACTATTGCACCAGCCTTACCGACTTCAAAGCAAATTGGAAAAGGAAGCGTCTGGATGTGATAAGCAAGTTCGGTACAGACGATGCCACTGAAATCGATGACGATGGGAGGCCATTGGATCCAACAGATGACATGATGAGAACCTTTGCCAACGAAAACAAGATTACGATTGAGGAGGCCTGGCACCGATTCAGAGGAGAGCAATTCATTTGCAAGGTGGCACTCGTGATCCTATCATTTGGTCATACTCCGCACTCCTTCAAGAAGGAATATGGCAACTTCGAATACCCCACCAACTTGGCTGACGCCCAGCTTGAGGAGTTGAAAGCGAAGAAAGCCAGCGTAATGACTGAATTGGTACAGAAGTGCATCCATGCGATTTATGGTTGTCGGACATATTCTTACTTTAGAACCGACGTTACATCACCCAACCACAAGGTGATCGATCCTCTGGACATCATGTACTCGAGAATGAAGAGCAAATGGGAGAAGTCTATTCTATTGATCATTGATCAACATGAGATCAGGTTGCCCCCACACGCTCAGAAAGTCATAGAGTCAATGGCCAGAAATCCCCACGTTGGACATACAGAGAGATGGATGAGCGTGGTAGAACAGAAGCATGTTCAAGCTCTTACCGATCGTCTAGGCTTTGGAGATAGGGCCAAGGAGATTCAGGGCAAGAAGAAGCAGGCAGCCAAGGCAACAGCTAAGTCAACATCAACGACTAAGTCTGAAGCGAAAGCAGCATCTTCGTCAAGAGCTGAGGCAAAGCCAGCATCTACACCCAGAACCGAGGCCAAGCCGTCGTCAGCACCAAGTGAGGAACCAAAACCTTCAACAGCACCTAAGAGTTTCGGGCCCTCATCAGCAGAGGAGAACAAGGCGAAGGCTGCTCCAAAAGCCAGACCACATGATAAATCACCATCTAGTGCTCCCGATGTGTTTGAGCAAGCTTTGCAGGAAGATCTTACCGCCAACGCATGTGCAGCAGAAGGCACAACTTCTTCATCATCCCGAGGACATTCCAAAGGAGGAGGCCAATCTGGAACATCTTGGAGGCCGGCGCTAACGCAAGAACGTCGCGAAGTACCTCAACCTTCTGAAAAGGGGAAGGGAAAGAGCAAGTCCAAGGGAAAGTCCACGAAGGGAGAAGATGATCGGCGGGATGCTCAGGGCAGCTGGGATCATCGTGGATGGAGAGGTTATCGCCAGTGGTGATTTCTTTGAACGACTATGAGGATACCATGCAAACCAGGGAGGAAGTCATTCACCGGATGTCTATCTGACCTGAAACGCTGTAAGTGTATCATTGCAAATCATCAATCCGATTTGATACCATGAGCATAATGGAAGGAAGACAGTCACCGACTGTCTCTCCGACTTGCCGTTCTGTAAGTGTATCCAAACCAAAACCTACATCTTTTGAGAAGTGTGAAGTCAGTTGCCGATGTGACATCTACGTGGAAGTCACCAGTTCGGATCTACATCAAAGCGATGCTCTTTTGAGTGGATACTGAGCGAGGCCTCGTGACTGTCTCACTTGTTCAATTCGATTTTCATAGGTTCTGAGCCATAGTTGCACACTTTATATGTAAAAGTCCGCTTTAGTCCAGCATGTTTTGTAGTATGAGCCTCATATGAGTCTCGCGGCAAATCATACAATTTCTTTTGTAGCACTTACATCCCTAAATTTTCGTGTGTGATCGGAACATATTGTTGCCGTTCACATGGGGGGTGCGAATGGAAGTGCAGCGACACGTACAGTGCAACTTGTACATATATGTACCATATGTACTTTGGCTCAAGGCTCAAGCGACTAGAAAAGGTGCGGTTTCCGTTCCGACGCTACGCCGCTTATGGACCGTCAGTGACAGCTTCAAGCTTCGCTGATTAAGATCCACTCGCAACAACCAATTTTCACGACGAATCGGTTTCACTGCATTGGTCCTTTCTTCACAAGACACCCTCGGAGTGGACAACAAGCTTAGGCACATAGAATCTTCAACCCGGATGCAAATCACCTCTCCATTCCTAGGATTTGTTTCATGGAGCTGGGCAGGTGTTTGCCGGCAGTCAAAGCACATCCTCATTCGGAGACCAATGGGAGATGTCCAACGGGAAGTTCTCAGGTCCACGTGCTGCTTTTGAGTGGGGAGGCCGTGCCCTGCAGCTTGGCAAGCAGGAAACTTTCAGATTGGTTTGTACCGAGCTGGCACCCTTGGTGGTGCAGTTTGGATAAGCAGAGATCTTGGGTCAAGATTCCTTCTTGTTCTGTCTCATATAGCAGAACATGGCATCACTTGCTTGCCAATGTTTGAAATTGATAGCTTACAGTTGACAACATCACAAGCACTAAAAACCTGCCCACGGTTTCAGCATGACTCGATTGAGCAACCAACCAACTCCATGTCGTGTCATGTCGCTCGTAATAAGGTGACCCTCAACCTGATCGCACAGTTAGGGACCTCCGAGAAGAAGTGCAGCACCTTGGCTTCGATATGAAGCCCTGAGGTTTGCTCCATTGTCGACTTCCCAAGCAATCGACGCAGATGGCCTGCACTTACCACCAGCTTTGCACAATTGTTCGCGCTGTGTATGGATTTTGCGCCCTTTGTATCCCTTCGTCGTGCTCATTTCAGCCACCCTGCCCGCCTGAAGATGCTGAGCATTTACCGTATACTTCGAGAAACAATGGTTCTTGAAGATTGCCACAGATGTGCTCAGATTTTCTGTGTTGGTTCCATCATGCATGCTTACTTGCAGATTCCCTGTATCTGAGGAAGAAGCTGAAACTTAAGGACACCGAGATCCAGCTGATCGCAAGTGGCGGCGAAAAGTTGTGCCTGTGGCTAGTTGGGGTGCTTTATGCTGTTTCGATTTGTGTTTCGGGCAAGCAGATCGACAGGGAAGATGTTTGTTGTGGTCGAAGCCGAAGCTGCGTTTTCCCTGTGTGTCATCTCAATGCCAACTTGCACTGCGACAAGCTACCTGCATAGCCACGTGTGCACTTCAAATCTAGGGCTCATGTCCATCATGCAATGACCCACAGGGATCTCAATTTGGCACATGGAGAAGTAAGTCAGTTTGAGCAGTAGGTCAAGGTCTGTTTTGTTAGAGAAGAAGGCTGGCACTACGCGGTTCTCCAAGAAGGAGATTGTGTTTTGCAATAGGTTGCACTCTTTGGATTGTGGCCCCGCAGCTAACAACAAACATGTCTTGCAAAGTCAAATTACCGCCTGCACTTATGTTATAGCAACTGCAACTGATGTTGAACATCAAGTTCCACTACATGCCTCCCTCTCCCTGGAACAAGTACAACAACAGAGGTGTGTTCTTCTGAAGTCGCTGTTCCAACCATTTGGCACCTGTCGTCCAGAAGAGAAGACTGTATGAATGGATGAGATGTGATGTGATGGTTGTATGTACTCGATGTTGGATCTTACTGCTCTCTCTGCCAGGCGAGATGAACAGACGCTCGGCGAAGCCAGGGTGAGCTACAGCGGCTCCCTCACTGCGGAGATCGTGGCTTGACTGCGGTCAGCGCCATTTGCACTTGCCCATTGGTCACGCGGTCATGCGGTCACGCCTGGCGTTTTTATCCACGTGAATTCTATGTTTCTATGCGTCGATTTGTGGACCTAAAAAAGGCTCCGGAAACTGTTGAGGTCTTGAAGAGTTGGAGATAATACGTGTGGTGAGTCGGAACTCGTTGAGGGCATCTAGCACCTGCGGTTTGCAGTCCTTTTGCTATGCACGCGGTTGCTGCGCAGGTAGGCCAAGACAAGGATCCGCAAAAGGTACTTGGAATGCACTGATGCTCCTTCTTGCTTTGGTTGGTTTCTGTTTGGTTTCCTTTCTCTTTGACTTGGGTCCTCGAAATATACCGTGACGAGTGGAAACTTCCAGGGAAAATTGAATCGATTTGTTTAAAGAGAGGCCAAATTGGCTAGCTAAAAATGCCACGTAGTGGCATCCTGCAACAATCAACCTCCAACGCCCAACCAACGGACAGCACACTCGATGCACGACAAGGCACCTGGCGAGGCAATACTGGACGATTCTGCTGGTTCAGGCGGTTTGATGCGCTGACGTTGTAAGTGTGATGATTTCCTTTTGCAAACACGATGTTGGGGGCTTTGGGAAACTGCCTATAGAAGTGCCCTGGCTCCAGCAGGTTTTGGTGAGCAGCCCGAGCAGAGTGAGTCGAAGGAGCCTTCCTCATGGGATGTTCAAATCAGAGGGGTTGACGTACAAAAACTCTTGATGATTGTCCAAATGCTGCATTCTGGATGTGTTATGTTTTCTTGAACACGTGCAAAGGCGACCATTGCCCAGGACACCGAAAAAAGTCTGAAGAAGGCACCATCTCTCTTGTTTTGGGCGCTTCGTTGAAGGCCTTGGAGTTGTTCCAGGTGGTGGAACTGGATGACACTAGGTGATGTGACCTTGAACGTTGATGAACTTTGAAACTTCAACGCACTTCTCCTGGTGAAGAGCTGATGTTTGGATTCCTCAATATCGTTCAGACTCTGCATTTGCACAAATGGGCATGTGGGAACTAGCTGGCCTTATGATTTGCCAGGTGGAAGAAGACCTCCTTTCGACCATTGGGCCAGATGGACTTCTGACACGGCAGAGCATCTCGGCCACCACTTGTTGAGACCAAAATGGGCGAATCATTGGTCGGAAGGAGGAGCGCTAGTGAGAAACTGTTTCCCGAACGTTTCCGACGGAAACGTTTACACTCAACGGACTGAAATAAAGGTTGAAACAGATTCAAACATCGGGCAGATCATCCAGTGGAGAGAATCTTGTTAGGATCGTCCAGTGGAAAATCTGATCGCAGGTTGGATCGACTCCACCAGGCCACCCTTGAATCCATCGTACTGTCAGGCTGCTTTCAAGTGACACGGGTGATCAAAGATCATGCCAAATGTGCACTCGTCTGTTTGGGAATAACCTGGATGAACCCCGGATCTGCTTGGTTTTCCGGGAAGGACAGAAGAACCTTGCTGTGAACAGTTTTGGCCAGCCTGCGATCGTTCCCTCGTGTCTCAGGATGTGTCACCATTTTGACAACGGTTGGCTTCACAGCACAAGAAGCCGAGGCTTTGCTCAAGGAGAGCGGGATTCTGGCACGACGCGCTTAATTTGTTCTCTTTTCCAGGCGCTAGGATCTTTAAGGTACACAACATGGTCCAAGCTCCAATGGTTCGTCCTCGACCCTTTCCTTCCGGTTTTTCAATCGAAGACGAACCCAGCGCAACAGCTCAAGTTTGGGAGGACTACGCCCCAGACCACGATGAGATCGGTGCCTTGGTTCTGGCATGCAGCGGGTGGTTCTCAGGTCGGATCCAAAAAGACTCTCCACAGAACAAGCAGCATCGAAGAGGCAGACTCAGACAGGCCAAGTTCGGAGAAAGCAACCATTGCAACAAACCCTTTGTTGTTGTCAAAACTGCGCGCTCCTAGCGTGCCGAAATGTGGCAAGTAATTGGCGGGCAGTGGCAAGGGAGAATACTACATCATAAGACATGAGATGTCAGCTGCAAGAGCCCAGGTGTACAAGTTTTTCTCGACCTCCTCCGTGCCAAGACTGCAAGCCTTGAGGCAGTGCGATGCTCAGCTTCCCCGTGCAACGTTGCTACAAAGCAGTAAAATTACTTTAAATCTATTGAAGATTCTCTAGGACCAGTCCTGACAGCAGCCGCACAGATGTGTTCGTCCTAGGTTGTCCTGCATAGTCTCCCAGTAACAAAGCTCAGAATTCAAAGGTCTTTGCGAAAATAATCCTTGTTGGCGCCGAAACGTCCAACAACGACCTTGTTGGCGCTGTCTTTTCCAAGGCACCTTCAACCGAGCATAATGAGGCCGGACGTGAAGGTTGCGGAGGCAGTCCATTCCTCTAAGGGTCGAGTTATCCGTAGTGTTCGTGACCAAGTAGTTGTTTAAAAGAAGGTGCAAGGAAGAGGTGCAAAAAGGTGTGAATCCGCCAAACATGTGAAAGTCGTCCAAAAAAGGTCACGATACGCGTTGTGTGTGTGTGTGTTTATCATGAACGTACACATGTCGTAGAAAGATTCGAAGCCGAAATTGAGTTGACGGCAGTGTCGGATGTAGCGCTGTCTTTGTGCATCGCCCGGAAGGAGCTGCTAGAGGATGGGGAAGTCGTGCATTCCCCAAGCGGCATTACATTCTTGATACCACCCGCGGTCACTGAGCAAAAGATCAAGCCAACTGCCCAGTTGGTGACAGATCTGACGTCCACAGACTTGCAATCACTAAAAAACCAACTGCAGCCCGGCGAGGTGGTCTTTCAGCCGGTTTTCAGGCTCTCGCCCGAGGAGAACCAATCAGACTGATTCTCCCCGCCTGCGTTGGTGCCAGTAGAGTCTGGTGCTCCAGCACTGAAGGCTGGACGGAAATTGCCACGTGCCGCTTTCACGAAGGCTATGTGGAACTGCAGGTGTCTCACTTCTGTGATGTGGCCACCACCGGAATCCCTGCGCCCATCAAGGCGCGTGGCTTCGTGAACATGGCCACAGCAAGAGCCAAAGTCAGCTTTCTGCATATCGGATGCACCTACTGCTCCACCGTCCTCGGCCAGACATACCCGCTGGACGAGGATTACCTACTAGGCTATGCCCAATGTCCCGAGATAGCGCATCTGGGTGACAGAGAGAACCAGGACGTGGAGCTGCTGCAAGACCGTCTCTCCCAGCGAATCACCTTGGAGTCCACAGCTTTCCCCTTTCTGTCGGAGGAGCTGTCAGCAGAACCCGATGGTTTCACCGTCCAGATCGAGAGCAGACCTATCACGTTTCACTCCCCCAGCCACAGCGCTCGCGCACCTCCAGCTTCCCAAGCAGCATATCCAGCGAATCCACCAGCACTGCCAGATCCTTCATCCGCTCCACCTCCAGTCACCACCGTCACCAGCCCATCTGCACCATCAGCAGCGCGGCCAGCTTTTACCAGAAAGGCCAGAGCACCAGTACCCCCAGCCGCGCAGTTGAGGATGGACGACCGCTCGGTGCAGGCGCAGGCCGACCTGAGATTTGGATATGTAATGTTGAGCCATCTTGAAACGATCTTGAAGCGGTTTTTGTTTGTTGATCCCATTTCCAGCGCCTTCGGCTTGCGTTCAGCATCCCTGCAATGGACACAAACTGCAGTGAGCCTGACATAACTTGACACGTTGGAAGTTCTCAGGCAAGCACCAGCAGCCCAGGTGGAGCTATTTGTTTGGCACCGAGAGTTGATTATTGTTGCTGAATGGGATATGAATGGGATGTCTATTGATTTCTGGATGTTCAGGTGGTCAATTGAAGAGAACGTATATAGTCTGATGGTTGTCCCGAAGTTTACGGGTCATCAATTGAGAGCATCCAATGGTGCAGATGCTCTTACTTGTGAAACTTTGATCCATTTATCCAGGCATCGGCATCGTTGTCAAGACCACCACTCACTACTTATAGAGGGATTCGATGCCTTGGAATAGGTACTGTAGCAGATTCTACACAAACCAAATTGCAGCTTCCAACAGGTTTCCGTTGAAAACATCCCCCCCGGTGTTGTGGAGCGATTTGAGCGGCCCAGCAGAGCTTCCAGCATCTGAGCCGGGTCCTTCTTGAGGCACCACATCTCCGGGAAACCTGATGCCTGCAAGTGCACAGGCTGAGGCAGATTTCGGATTTGACAGACATGCAGAGTTGAGCAGCTTAGGGGGGTTCGGATTTGAGGTCACAGAACCCGTGTGAATTCAGAATCAACCGTGTGGGTCATAGATTCTGGTCATGGTCATGACATGGAGTGGTCTTTGTTTGCAGGCTGGAACCTCTCCTTCAGCACCAGTCATGCGCCTAGCATTCATGAGCTTTTGCATGTTTTGAGGGCCTTTGCTGTGATGATGTGTTGATGCTTCTGTTAAAGATAAGTGACACACTAACAGTTAACTAGTCGCTAGTGTCAAGAGGTGTCAAGCCGTTTCAATGCACGGCAGGCCAGCAGCTCAAGTAGCGGACCTGGCTTGGAACCCAGTTGCTCCCAGTCAGCGCGGCAGAGCCCAAGAGAGGAAGTGTGTGAATTATCACGAAAGGTAGCCTCGGCTACCTAAGTTCTCCTTGCTTTAGCAAAATGATGGGGGTAGAAGTCTCCACTGCCTGAGAATTTAGTATTACTTATGTATTTTTGATGTCAGGGAGGGCGTTGTGGTTTGGGGCTGAGTATGTGGTGCTTTTCTATAGAACTCGATCACTACTGCCTTCAAGCGTGAGAAGACCCATCCTCCGTACCTCCCTACCACCAGAAGCTTCGCCTTGATTTGTTTTGCTTTCGGCTTGATTGCGTGGCTCTTCTTGCAAGCGATAGACTAGCTCCATCTGCGCAACCCTCCCAAAACTTTATGAGAAGCAAGAGCTGCGCAGGCTAAAACTGCGCGGGTTGTTTTTTGGTAATTCCTTGTCATTCCTCCAAGGGGTTCCTGCTTCGCTGCTGCTTGCTGCTTGCTGCTTGCTCCTCTTCAGATTTTTTCAAGATCTACCTTTTGTCCACCTCCATCGCCTCAAGCGGTGCCAAGAGCGTCAGAGATGATCTAATCAGCGTCAGAACTGTTGCTTCAATGCGTTGTGTTGCTTGAGGCCCTGTGGCTTCAGGGAGGTGGAGGAACAGGGCTCTCCTCGGCAGTCAGGCTGGAAAATGCTGATGTTGGAGTCTAAAAGTCTAAATTGGATAAAATTTGATAAACTGAGTATCACCCAGTGCTCATCTAGTGTAATACAATTTGAAGTTCTCAGGCAAGCGCCAGCAGCTCGAGTGGAGCTATTTGTTTGGCACCAAGCTGCTGATTGGGACTTCCATGGATTTCTGGTTGTTCAGGTGGTCGAAAAAAAATGTCTCAAGGGTACTCGCTAAGCTTGTTGGTTGCTGACAGCTGATGAACGAAAGAGATGGTGGTTGTCTCGATCTTCCAAAATACGAGATCTATCGTCGACCTGTGAGATCGAGCAGCTCTTCTGTGGTTTTGCTTACTCTCCGCCGCTCCGCTCTCGACTCTCAGCTTTTGGACACATCGCGAATGGAAAATCACCACTCACTAAGAGGACGGTGCATTTCAAACAGCTAGCAGCTATAGCAGATGATACCAATGCCAAGGTGTCTGACCAAATAGATCAGAATAGATAACTCTTCTTGCTGTGACACGTGGAAGAGAGGAGCTGTGTCAATCTTCAGGCGGTTCAAATAGTCCAACAAAGCCTGGAAGATGTTCCAACATAGTCAAAACATGTCAAAACCACTGGTTCGAAGCAGTTGGAAGCAGCTTTGTTTCTGAGGCACAGCCTCTCCCATCGGAAACCCAGTGCCTCCACCTGCAAGCGCACAGGCCGGAGTCGGCAGGTTTCGGATCACAGGGGAGAACCCCAGTGAAGACGAAAAAACGACCAGTTTACAGTTTACCCATCTTAAACATAAACTCCCATGTAGGTCAGAATGTGATGTGTGAACATCTTCCCCTTTGAGTGCCTTCGTTTTGGGCAAAGCCGACCGTTCGAGCGGTTTTTGCGCGTCGTTGAGCATTGCTGAATTCCACGAGGTGCCACAACTGAGATCCGCCCACGGCGCGCGCGTGGCCATGTTTTCCGCCCGCTTCGATGGCGGCGAAACTGAACAGCGGTTTCGCGCCATCCATCGGATCTTGGTTGGGAATGGCTATGATGTCTTGATGGTCTCGGTTCGTCCCGGTGAGAGCTTTGCGGACCTGACCACGAGGTACCTCGGCCGGATACACCGCGAGAACGGTGTGATGCTCTCCGTGTGCACCAGGCACTATGGGGAAATGACTTCTTCGGAGTATTCGAGCTTCGAAGAAATCAAATTCGCCAAGACTTATCGTATCATGGTCCTCCCATTGAGGGTGGAGGAGATTTATCCTCCGGAACCTCCTGGCAGAGGGCCGAATTGGCCGAACCATTTAGATGAACATTTGGATGCTCAAAGTTATGTCAGCTGGGTCTTTGACCCAGCAAGACTGTACTTTGATTGCAGAGGAAAGTCCGAATTCGAGATCGCCTCCGCAATTGCAGACTCTTTGCACCCACCCTGAAATCTGCTTGTGTGGAGATGGAGTTTGCAGCCAAGTCACGCTCAAGAAACACTATCATTGACAAGATTACAGTATGTTCTCGTGCGATTGTTGTTGAGTAACAGCCCATTCCCTGTCTATGTGTTGTGACTAGCTTGTTCAACCTGGTTTTGCTTGAAGGTGATTTTAAGTTGTCCCGATGGTTTTTTTCATCCCCTTCTGGTGAATATTAGTCCAGCTTCCTTAGGCAAAATCCAAGTCAATGTTGAACTTGGAACCAGATGCCTTTTGAAGTTTAAGGATGAACATTGGGTAAAGATTCTTGTGCTCCACATTCTTTCACACACCTGTTTTCTGCTGGTGAACCACCCGTCCAGCTGGACTGACTTCCAAACTCCCAGCGTCACTCAAGCACCGTTCGGCCGTTGCGTAGATCTTTTGGTCTCTAAGACATCATGGCTGGAAAGTTCCCTCCAGCATGGCAGGGCTCACAAATAGTAGTGAATAGTTTCGACCTTTAAGTCCCTTAAGTAGCCATCCTGGAGTAAGCACTGAGAGCACTGTAGATTTAGATAGACTTTCCATTGCTTGCTCATAGAGCAAACGGACATGTTCAAACTATATGTTTGTTTCTCTTGCCGTATTCTGCCGGATCATCCAACCGTCCATGTTGCAAGCATCGGATTCCCAAGTGGCCTGCCCTGCTGCAGAATCCGATTGGCAGCCGAGTCATGCCAAAGCACCACGACTTGCTGGTATACCTCCTGCCATTGAGCAGAGCCCATCTGAAAACCAGCCTTCTTAGATGGACCATTTCTCACCTCTTCACGTAGATGTTTGTGGCGTTTTCCAGTCTCAACAGCAGATGCTGAGTGAGGTTCAGTCAAGCTGAGTGAGGAAGATGGGTCGAGTCAAGAGGCTCTGCCAGCTGTTTCACTGGACCTGCACGGAATTGGCCCTTGCACCCAGCTGTCACGGACGGAATTTCGATAAAAGTCACCTGACAGAGCATCGCTCTGGCTGTTGGGAAAGGAAGCAGATTTTGGGGAGTGTTGGCAAGAAAGAACAGGTGACGGTGACCTACTCAAATCGCTCAATTGCATTGTGATTATTTTTGTCTACAAAGATCTCGGATTGTTGATGATCTTGGAACTGCGATCCGCCGCAGCCCATGGCTCAGCCTGGCTCAGTCATGACCCATGTCTATTCCTACTTCGTGGTGCGCTGGCAGCGCTGCTGCTGGTGGCGCAGCTGCTGGAGCTTGGCCAACGCTGAAGCGATGCCCGGCGACCCAGCGGACCAACGCGGCGAGATTGTTGGAGGGCCGGCCCATCTTCCCTTCATTTTGTTCTTCTTGGTTTGTGTGATGTCATGTTTCGCAGCGACTCCTTCGGATGTCCGGAGGTGGTTGTTGGTTCTCCTCCTGGGCCGTTGCTTGGAGGTCTCACAGCCTCACGATCCTTTCGTTTCGTCAGGGTATTTGGCTAGTGTTGGGGCTTATTCACATAATTTGCACCAAAGATCAAGAGATTTAATGCAGAATGTTAGAATGTTGGGATGCGATGCTAGGGACCTCTGAGATATTGGCGGATCTTGGACCTGTGGCTTTTGTTGAAAGGACGAAGATTCGGAGAATCCCAGCTCACTTCCAACGCATCGTTGACGAGTCCGAACAGATGGGGTTCCACCTGGATCCACCCGAAGTCAGCCAGCCCCCCCACCGATCAGAGCGGATGAAGCTAATGGGATTCCCCCCTTCAGCCCCAGGGAGCGCGGCGTGATGATGAGCGGCGTTGGCGCGGCGCAGCGCCGGCGGGATTTGCTCCGGCAGATGTTCGAAGCGCTAAACCAGGAGAGTCGGTACAGCGCAGTAGGAGGGGGAGCGGGAGTGGCAGGGTCTCATAAGTCCCATCGCTCCCATTTGACAAGCAAGAACAATGCTCGTATGTATCTCAGAATGGTTCAAAGGGTGAAGCATGCTTTGAATACCATTGAAGACCTGGATGTTTGTGTTTATTGGCCCAACGCAGCCAAACCCTTCGTTCCTCGAAGACACGAAACAACCTGCAGGATGAGTGGCAGATCGTCGCCCTATGACCTTGGTACCGCCCACGATTGCACACTGAGGTGCCTCTCCGGACAGATGGGTGGATGGGGTGGGTGACCGTGGGTGTGTATGTGAAAGGTGGAACACCCGCAACCAGCGAAAACAAACGACGCAGACGAATCTTGGCACATGTGTTGACACATTTGGTGCGGTACGGACTAATTTGACAGTTTCCTGTAAATTTCCGAACCATTTCGACAGGGAAGATGTTGCTGCGCTGAACCAGGAGAGTCGGTACAACAAAGCAGGTGAGTTATTGGTCTTGCGCAGGTCAGACCCAATGTAGCAACTAAACTGCAGAAGGAATCGATGTGAAACATTTGGTGTTTCTTGTCCAATGCCAATGCTTCGTGCGTTTCAGAAGTTGTTCTTGCAAGGCCTCACTTCATATGTTCACCCTGTGCTCATTGGTTGTGGGGTTTTCAAACGCCTTATTCCTTTACTTTGGTTTCCAGTTCCAGGTAGGTGAAGAAGGCCTTGAACTCCTCTAGTGTTGTGAAACTTTTTTTCAGATGTGTACTTGTTGAATTGCCCAAACGCTTGGAGTTTCGAAGACGCCTTCAGGATGAGTTGCAGATCGCCCGCCTTGCGACCTTTGCTCCCCCCACGAAGAAGCGCAATGAGGTGCCTCTCCGGGCAGATGGGCTGAATCGCTGTGAACATCCCAAGCAACAAGTGCTGCAAAGTGATTTTTCAATCGCAGAGAGCAAAGTGGAGACTGTTCATCAAGGTGGTTGGCCTTTGGATCTGCCAATCTTCTTAAGATGTGCTTGGATTCTTGAAGGTCTTTTTGATGTTCTTCCGGAGTCTTCCGGATTTCTTGGGCCGATTGATTTTAAAAAATGTCATTTTGTACATCGTTTTCGTTCAGCCTCTTCGTCGTTCTCACGTCGTTTTCACCTGCTTGCAGCACTGAGGCCGGCCTTGCTTGCAGCACTGAGGCCGGCCTTGCTTCTACACGGAGGACGGACCTGGACGAGACGGAGCTCCGGCGTCCGATGGGAGCAACTCGATGACAGTTCTTTGAGGTGATAGACACAGGGATGCGGTTTGGCGGTCAGCAGGTGAGACATGGTGAGACGGTTAGATCCGAGGAAAACCTGAAGAAACATGTTTTGAAGGGTGTGTTCCTTTTCTACTCGTTTATTTCTGACACACTTTGTCTTGCGACGGAGGGTAGATTAGCTGGGAGGGGTGAGCCTGACAGACTTGGTCTTGCGAAGGACATGGGAAATTGAATTGCGGGAGACGGGAGAGCATTATGCCTTTGTACAAGGTCATGTCTTGTCTCGACTTGGAACTTGTGGATTCCAAAACTCAAGAGAGACTTTCAAAACAAACTACATGGAACCATACAGTGGTATCTCGATCCCTTCTATGCACCCCAAACCCACAGCAAGAACAGTGAAAGAGATGCGACCCACCGAGTCACCGGGCATCCAACTTGGATCGTCTCAAAAGGACCGTCCGTCCGGCTTGGCTTCAGCCAGGTGCGGATGGATCACCCGGTTCCACGGGGACCTGGAAGGGGACTCGATAGGAAGGGTAGATACGAAGGGGGCACGCTCGAACCCACCGACGCAACAGGTTTCTCCATGCGCCGTGGACGTCTCCGGGGCCGAACTCTGGAAGTCCAAGCGGCTCCAGTGGTGCATGAAGACTGGGTCATAATATAGGATGAGAGATAGATATATGTGGTGGCCCTCATCATATCTTCTTTCCTTTGAGGTCTTTGGGTGATGGCTTCTATGGGGTCTATGGGTCGCCTTCCGTCCGGCTGCGAGGTCAATGGCACCGGTGGCCGCTGCTTCTCCACTTCCGCTGACTGCATTGGTATCGCTGCTTACCGGCGTTGGCGGGGCCGGTGAGAGGGCGGTGGCGGTGGCGGTGGGAGATCTTGAGACCTTATATACTGGAGGTTGGCTTTGGGCGAATCTCAATGGTTTCCAGCTCCTTGAAATCCGTTCACGGTGTGCGGAAGCTGCCGGCCAGTGTCTCCCAGTGAGCCACGAACTGAGAGAGAATCCAGGTCGAAGGTCCTGCACCACCCGTGGCTTCAAGCCGTGGACCCCCCCCGCTATTCCCCAAAGAAACACCGAGGATCCAGGTGAAGATGTGAAGAGAGATGAAGCGAGTGGCTTTTGGGAGTCACACCCCCCATATACTCAGGTCCTTTTGGATCGGAGTCCAAAGCACCAGATCTGCACGGCCCCCGGCGGCCCCGGCCCCGCTCGTGTGTTCTTTCCAAAACAATAGGCATACAAAGCGGTTTGGGCACAGGTCTTGAAAGATCGAAAGTCGCGGTTTGGGAGTCACCCGACGAATGCTTTGTTTTTCTTTTTTAATTTTTCCGGGGAACTCGCAGGTTGGGGATTTGGGTGTGGAAGCTCTAAGACGGCCAAGGTGAAACATGCCTTGCTAGGCCTTGTGGTGGCCAGTTGCAGTGGATATCGTGAGGCTTCAAGGTCCAGAGCACTACTTTTTGATATGTTTATTCTTTATGTTTTCTAAAAAGGTCAGGGTTCTATCAGAGTTGACAGGAATTTGCTTGAAGAATCCCAAGTCCAAAGCGGGGCACGCCACAGGATTGCTCTACACCTCGGCTGCCACGCCAGCTGCGCCTTGCACTGCTTGCTGGGCCTCGCTGCTGCAGCGTCAGGTGGGTGGCGTTGGTGACGTTGGGACATCCCGGTACATCCGGAGTTGATCAGGTCAACAGGCAGTGGAACTCACAAACAGATTTTGTGGGATTTGGAAGTTGGCCAATCTACTCCAAGATTGTTGCAGCTTGAGGAATGCCGATGCTTTGGTGGAAGATGTGGAAGTAGATGAGGATGGCCCCATCAACGGTAGCCTCCATTGAATCTATACCTGGATGACAAGTCCAAAGGAAGATCCTTGATTCAAAACGAGA